GCGTTGAACATCACATCCGGGCACCACGCGTAATCGCCCGTCTGGTCCTCCGGACACTGCCACGACAGCGCCAGGCCACCACATTCATGGTCACTTGTGGAGACCAACAGAATCTCATGGTCGTCCGACGAGTTCTCATCGACCCACTTGGCCACCGCCTCAAACGCATGGTTGTACTCGAGAATATCATAAATGTGGCCAATAGGGTCATTGTTGTGCGCGGCGTGGTAAATGCGCGCACCTTCAATCATAAAAGAGAGAGGCTACGCTCGATTGCTGTGCTATCGCGCCACATAGATGCGATACGAACGCGGGGTGGATGGGTGGTGGCACCTCCATACGGTGGAATTTAATTAAAATAAAGGCACAGGCTGATGCCTCCACTTAGACAGCATAGACCGCTGAGCGGCTACGCAACAAGGAACACGAGAGGGCATCCCAGAAACGCCGTAGCTCCATGTCGGCGAGGCGGAACGACAGGCGGTGGAGTAGATGCCACGGGGCGATGGTCATCAACCTTGACGCGGAGAATGCGAGGCGGACGACGGAGCCGGCGTCTTCGTAATGTCTCGTCTTGGCCCTCACCTTCTCGTCGAGCTTGTCCTGAAGGGGGGGAGTGGGCGGGGGTGTGGGGACGGGAGATGTAGCGGGAGATGAGGAGTGGAGGGGCAGGGATGAGGATGTTGGCTGCGTAGAGGGCGTTGACGTCGATGGCGGGCTGGAGGGCATGACGACCAAACTTGATAGGTAGAAAAGCTTGAAGCAGTCACGGCTGTAGGCCCAGGCTCATGGGTGGAGAAGCTTCTGACGTGCGAGACGGAGGGAGAGCGATTGGACACCGACGAGGGCATGGTGGATGGAGGAATTTTAGGGACATTTGGATGAAAAGGGGAGACAGTTACACACGAATGAGGGAGGATAGGGGGGAGAACACGGAGGAGGGCAGGGAAGTATGGGATGGGAAAGGAGGGATGGGGAGTAATGGGGGACAAGGGAGATTAGGAGATGAGGAGAGAAGGGGAGAGTGTAGAATTGAGGGGATGATTTTGGCGTAGTGTATTGTAGAAGGGATGAGGAAAGATAGAAAGATAGAATGAAAGAGAAAGAAGGGAGAATTAGTGGAAATGAAGGGGGGGTAAAGAGGGGGGGGTAATTGATGGAGGTGTGCGGCTTGTGAAGATGGAGAGGGAGGGAGGGAGGAGGACGAGGATGGGAGGGAACGAATTGATAGAGAAAAGAAGAGAGAGAGGGCGGGGGAGAAACGGGGCGGTGTATTGGTATGGTATGAGGCTACATAGGTAGGATAGGAAGGCGGGGAGGATGAGAGGGGGCACCTCGACATGAGGGAGAAGAAATGAAAGGACCGGAGTTGAGGCGACCACTTAGAGGGCATGGAGGGCGGAGGGGGTACGGAGGAGGGAGGAGGAGAAGGGAGGGGGGGAAGGAGATGAAGGGAGAGGGAGAGAAAGGGAGGGGATGGAGGGAGCGGACGTCTTTGTAGCGCCTCGACTTGGCCCTCTCTTTCTCGACCAGATTTCCTTGAAGCGAGACGCGAGGGACGCGCAGGAGGGTGACGTGGATCGCACTGGTGGGCCGTCTGGACGACGAAGGGAGTGGCTCGGAATGATAGGAAGGCGTGGACTGGACGTCGTGGAAGGGCGGGAGAAGGACGGGAGGGGCGTTGCGAGGAGTGTGGGCCTCGGCGGGGTGTACGACCTGAGTGAGAGAGAGGTCGATGTGGGCGACACGATGTAATGGGATTGCACAATGATGTGGAAGCGGGGGCGAAGCGGCGAGAGGGAGACGGAAGCGTGGACGAAGCTGAGAGACGATGCGGGGCGGTGGTAGAATGTGGGAGGAAGTAGGAGACGTAGGTAGATGTGGGGGATGATCTGGTGGGCTCGTTGGCGGGGAGAGGATACATTGGGGAGGAAGGGGGAGATGGAGGGGGATGAGCACTAAGGCGGACGGCAAAAGGGAGAGGGGGAGAAGGAGGACAACGATTGTAAGCTGGATGGCGGGGGGAGGGTGGGGGGAGGGGAAGTGGTGGAGGGAGCTGATAGGCAAGGGGGGGGGGATATTGGAGAGGATAAGGGGGGACGAGGGGATGGATGACGATGGAGGGGAAAAGGAGGGACTTGAGGTGGGGGATGATGATGAAGGAGAGGAGGAGGGAGGATAGTTGAATGATGAGGTAGGGGAGTGAGAGAGAGCGGGGCGTGA